GAAGATTTCTATGCATTACTTGTAGAAGATTCTCCAATTACATTTGAAGATGCAATGAAATCAGTAGATGCTCCATTTTGGAAGGAAGCTATAAATAAGGAGATACAATCTATAGTTCAAAATCATACTTGGGAACTAACTGATCTTCCTTCAGGCTGTAAAACTATAGAATGTAAATAGGTATTTAAGAAGAAACTCAGACCAGATGGAACAATAGATAAATATAAGGCCATATTAGTAGCTAAAGGATATACCCAAAAATCTGGTATTGATTATTTTGATTTCTATTCTCCAGTAGCTAGGATTACTACCATTAGAGTCCTTATAGCTCTAGCATCTATTCACAAATTAATAATACATCAAATGGATGTTAAAACTGCATTCTTAAATGGAGATTTAGATGAAGAAATCTATATGGATCTACCTGAGGGATTTATAGCTTCTGGACAAGAAAAGAAAGTATGCAAACTCATTAGATCACTATATGGTCTCAAACAAGCTCCAAAACAATGGCATATGAAATTTGATGAAATTATACTATCTTATGGATTTGTAATTAATCAAACAGATGAGTGTGTATATCATAAAATAGATAATAACAACAAAATTGTGATATTATGCTTATATGTTGATGATATTCTTATTTTTGGTTCTGACATACAAATCATAAATGATATCAAACATTTTTTATCATAAAATTTTGACATGAAAGATTTAGGTCAAGCTGATTTAAATCTTAACACTAAAATATTGAAGAAGGAGAATGGATATGTGCTGTCACAATCACATTATATAGAGAAAATTCTCAAGAACTTTTATGATCCAAACTGTAAACTTGTTTCTACTCCATATGATCCTAATGTACATATAAAGAAAAATACAGGTTATCCTTAATTACAAAGAGAATATGCACAAATAATTGGATCATTAGGATTCCTAACAAACTACACAAGACCTGACATTGCTTATGCAGTAAATAGACTTAGTAGATATACATCAAATCCTAATAATAGTCATTGGGATGCTCTAGAAAGAGTTTTGAGATACCTAAAAGGAACTATGAATTATGGTTTACACTATAAAGGTTATCCATCTGTACTAGAAGGTTATTCAGATGCAAATTGGATTAGTGACTCAGTAGATGTAAAATCCACCACAGGATTTGTGTTCCTTTTAGGAGGAGGAGCTGTGTCCTGGAAATCTACTAAACAAACTGTAATGGCTAGAAGTACAATGGAATCAGAAATGATAGCTCTTGATACTACTAGTATAGAAGCTGAATGGTTGAAAGATTTACTAACTGAAATTCCACTAATGCAAAAACCATTACCAGCCATTTCTATTCATTGTGATTGCAGGTCAGCGATTGACAAATGCCATCAAGAGAATGCAAATGTGAAGATGAATCGACACTTGAAAGTGCGACATAAATCCTTGAGATATAAGATGAAAAACCATATAATAGCCTTAGATTTTGTAAGATCAGAGAAAAATCTTGCAGATCACTTAACTAAAGGCTTATCTAGGGCAGTGGTCCTAGAATCATCGAGGGGGATGGGGTTAAGCCCATAAGAAAAATCACTGCAGTGGCAACCCAACCTCGCAGAGGTTCAATGGGTAGAAACAAACTGAATGAGTGATTAATTGTGAGGAGCACTGAATTTATTTGCTCCCATCCCTAGGGTGATCAGTGCTCATAAAAAGCAAGTGAAATGTTGAGTCTAACTCTTAATGAATCCAAGACCCATGAGGCAGGATGCTTACTTGCTCGCATTCTTATTAGGATTCACCTATATGTGTGTAGTTATGAGGCCGCGACTATGGGATCAGGACTGCTCCCTAGTAACACACATGAAAGATACCTGCACAAGGCCGATAATAGCGCAACCCGCTTAGAATTCTTCAAAACTGTACTATGTGTGCTTTCTGTAGAAATCCGATAAATGGGACTGGTTCAAGGCGAAGTCCACCAAGCTCTCACGGATCTATACAATTGTCACTAAGTGAAGGTTCAAACCGAAAGGTACCTCCACCTATTACATAGTATAAGGGAACCAACAATCATATTTATTTGTTTTTAAGTTCTTCTTTTACTGTTATTTCTGAATTATTTTAAGTTTTAAGTTATGTGGGGGATTGTTGGAGTTATAATAAAGATAACTTAAAACTTGATATTGTAATGGGAAAGTTTAGTCCCACATAGGAAATGGAATAGGAAGGAAGGGTCTTTATAAGTCTTCCCTTTCTCTCCTATGCCTAAAAGAAAATAAAGGTTATGCTCCACACCACGCACGCGCGCGCCGATCGGGCCGGGCTCGGGCTCGGGTCGGGTCGGGTGGCGCGGGCACACGACCTGCGGACACGAATGCAGCTCCGATTAATGGGTTCTTAATCTGCTACATTTTTATTTTTGAACAATTAAAATGTAATATTTATTTTTGAACAATTAAAATGTGATAAACATTTTGTAACGGTTAGGATTAAATATTTTGTAACTGCTACAATTAAAATACCGCGGATTTATGGATCTAAGTAACAGAAAACGGCTAACATTAATACATTAATGGGCGAGTAATTAAAAAGTGTTAATTGCGGGATTTATGAATAACGGCTGTTTTAACCCTATAAAAGGACCGAAACCCAAAGAGTTTTACATAGTGTGAAAAACACAAAACTTCTTCTTCTCTGCTCTATACTTGCTATTATATTCTGCTGGTTCCCTGAAAGTCTAGAAGAGTTCGCAAAGCCTTCTTGAAGCTCGTGCCGACGAGAAGGAGGTCGCTTGACCGAGGGTCGTTGTATCTCCAGGAACTTTTACCGCGTAGCCCTGTACGAGAGGGGGCAATTAGATTTTTGGGACAGTGCTTGCACGCCTCGACCATCAGGCCGTATTTCTAACCCTCATTTCTTTTCGTTTGAATTATTTCTTACATCTGTGTTACAATATTAATTCATTATTATCTGAAAATTATTAACTGCACTTCATGCTAATTATTGTCTAAACAGCTTATATTCCCAACAAGTTTTACAAATACTAAGATTTGGGGGCATATTTGCAAATATTCATGATTAAGGGGTATATATGCAAATAACCCAAAAAAAATATGGCGCATTAATTTGAGATGGTCTTGTATTCCAACTGGTTAGACAAATCAACCTATTTGTCAACTTTTCCATGCCTAAAGGCATATCGTTGATTTATATAAAACTGCATATTTCTGTTAATCTTTTCGTCTGCTAGAAATATTTTTTCCCTAAATATGAGGCTATTTTAAAAATTCAAGAAAAAAATGACGTTCACACAAATAACAAGGGAGTCCTCTTTCAAATAACAATATACATTTTGTTTTCCAAATACTTAATTTTTAGTTTATCCTTATTTATTCCTTTGATATTACCCTTCAATCCTAATACATATTAGCAATTAATAAAATATGTTTATGCTAAAAACTTAATTATGCAGGTTTAGGGCGGATTTGAAAGAGCTTAGGGTCCCTCAATCTTCTTTGATGGCTGATCACATTGATCAGGAGAAGCTTCCTATACAAATATAAAAACGTTAGAGGGTCGGAGTTGGGTTCTCCAGTAATTTCTCCAACGATTAAGTTAGTGATGATCTTCAAGGGGAAAAATATGTGATAGAAGTAGTTTTTTAAGGTTTTATGTAGTAGAGAACAACGTACCTTCATGCAGAAAATAATATGCTTATTTATAGTGAACCGACAATGGTATTTGGGTAATTTCGGTTGGATCCATGCAGTTGGCTTAGTCAGCCGACACTTTGCATGTGTCGGCAATGGGCGATCCGAGTCATCCTTGCGTTTAATGCGACGACGACGACAAAATGACTAAGGTGCTAACATTGTTTGAGGAGTCGTGACTTCGACGGATGAGTGATGATGGCTATGGCCATGCATTCAATGTGACGGTGGTTGGCCAACGTTGTCTAGAAAAACAAAGCAAGTAGGTTTCCTCGTAGTTCAAGATGTGTCACCAGGTCTGAGTGAAGACACCTTTCGTCTCGATCCTCAATGTGCCGCAAGGAGCGGGAGCACTAGTGAGACTTGGGGTGTATCAAGTTTAAATCAGCTAAGCGAGACACATGTCATTCTCTTGAGAGTAATTTATACTTAGCAATTTTTGTGATACAGCAAAAATAAAATTACTATTTCTACACGAGAAATTAGTCTTGCGCCCAAAAGTACGGAACATGACATCCTGTTTCTTATTTTATCCCATGAATTATGAGTCCCAAAAGTTAAAAAAAAGTCTTCTGTTAATATTAAATTTAATAAAAAATAAATCAGAAACAAGAGCAGGAGGGCGTGCCACGAGCTTGATTTTGCAGAGAGGGGGCAAGTCGGCAAGAGGACAATGTAACGAGAGGTTGACACTGATGAAGAATAAAATAAGTGAAGCAAGGACGAAGGAATGAGTCACGCAACGACCCTCGGGAAGGAGATCATGTTGTTATTTTAAAATAAAAAAGCCTAATTAAAAAATATATAATAACTTACGAAACAAATCAATATTATAAAATATAGCCAAATGTTTTAATAGTATTTTCTAACAATTAGGTCGGGGGTTAATATTGAAGAAATTAAAAAAAGTAAACGAGGTGCGAATTTGTAACTAAAATGATTTTGAATTAAAAACATCTATAATTTGAAGAGTATATATATATATATATATATATATATAGGGAGAGGTTCTAATAAAAACCTAGAGAACTAAAAACCAATCCTAACCCTACATTCTATTTCATCCAATGGTCAATATTGAAAATGGCAGAATTGAAAATAAATGCAAATCAGTTGACAAAATACCAGTAAAAGGGGTAAATTAGGAAAAGAGACATTAATGAAAACCGCTGTAATTAATTACGAAAATACGGCGGACACTTTTTTCCGCGAAAAATCGATTCAGTTCTACTATTTTGAATACAGTTTCATCTTCTCTCTACGCGAACAACTAAACTCTTCACATTCCGTCGATTTCTCCACACTTAGGTTTCTTCGAACATCTCATTACAACAAGAACGAAGACGAAAAGCAAGACTTCGACGATAGAGATGAAGAAAAGCAACTCCGACACTCCAAAACCCTCGTCTTCAAGAAGGGGTAAAACATTTCAAACCCTTGTATTAAAAATTTATATTTTTTATCAAAGTTTGAATATTTTTCATAGATTCAGTGAGTAAAGGTTCGGAATTTCGACATAATTAACTTGCATGTTGTTGAATACTTTTCGACATGAATAAATGTTATCGATGCATGTTCTATTTTAGGGTTTTAAATTTTTTTAATTTACTTTGATCTTGTTAGAATAAGTCAAGTTTTTTTTATATTGTAAGATGTTTTCATTTGTTCTAAATGGATAGCGGTAAATATTTGTGGTCTGGATTATGCAATATGCACTCTAGTTGAATCTACTCGATTCAGTTGAGTGGATCGAGATTCACTGGTTGAATCTATTCGATTCAGTGGAGTGAATCGCGATTCACTGGTAAATCGACTCGATTCAGTTTTTGTAAATCACGATTCAGTTTTGTAAATCACGATTCAGTTGAGTGGATCGAGATTCACTGGGTGAATCTACACGATTCAGTTGAGTGAATCGCGATTCACTAGGTGAATCGACTCGATTCAGTTTTGTAAATCATGATTCATTGTGTGAATCTACTCGATTCAGTTAGGAAATTGAGGGTTTTAAATTTTTACTGTATTTCTTTGTATTGGTACTTTAAATCGCGATTCACACAATACAAGCTCAATCATATATACTCGATTCAGTTGGATGAATATACACGATTCAGTTGAGTGAATCGCGATTCAGTTGACACCATGCATTATTCAAAGACTGGGCTCAGTAAAAAATCAATTGTCATCTGTTTAGCAGGTCTACGATCTAGATCAAAGCACAAACAAAAAGCAGGTGTTGGGATTGTAGACGATGACTTCATCAACCCACCAAATAATCCTGCCGGTGAGGAAACATCAATGCGTACAAGGGATGAAGAAAATGAACAGACCACATTAAGGATGAAGAAGAAAAGGGTTGGTGTACTAAACATCTCGATTCACTTAAGTGAATGTTGATTCACTTCATTGAATCAAGATTCACTAAAGTAAACATATTGCTGTAATAAATATCTTTAAATTTATTTGTGTATTCAATGATGGATAATTTCATCTAATTATATTATATTTCTTACTGAAGAAGGTTGTGAAAAGAAAATATGTGAGCTACAACAGTGACGATGACTACGTCGAACCACCAAATAATCCTGCCGGCGAGGAAACCTCAAAGCGTAGGAGGGATGAAGAAAATGAACAAACCACAAAAGAAAGGAAGAAGATGAAAAAGGTTGGTGTACTAAACATCTTTATTTTTTTTTGGTATTAACTGATGGATAATTCGATCTAATTATGTTTTTTTTTCTCACTGTAGAATTTGTTTAAAAAAAAATGTGAGAGCTGAACCTAAGGAGTTGACTAGGATACGTGTCTCTCCAAAGATATTCTCTGATATGGTTTTGACACTCTCTGACTCACAGAAAGAATGGGTTAGACTAGCTGGTTTTGGAGGTCTTTTAAATTTTGGATTAAAGGAACTGCCTCATATGTTGGGGTACCAGATTCTGCAATCGTTTGACAGTGAATCCGTTGCGCTTAATCTTCCCAGAGGATCAATAAGTATCACAGAGGAAGATGTACATCAAGTTATGGGATTACCTCTTGGCATGAAGGTTATACCAGACTCCAGTACTGGGAAGTCATCATTGGTAGATGCTTGGAGGGATCAATTCAAAGACAGATATGGTTGGAAAATTACTCCAGGGGCTGTGGCTGACAAACTGAAGCAGACTTCTGATGTTAACCTTTTTTTCAAACTGAATTTCTTGGTTCTCGTTCACAACATCATGATCCAGTCGTTTAGCAATCCGTATGTCAACCAACGGATTCTAGTACTTGGTGAAAATGTTGATCAGTGCTGTTCATACAATTGGTGTTCTTTTTTGATTGACTCTATGATAGAAAGCCAACACAAGTGGAAGGTTGACCCGACAAAACAATTCTACACTGGTCCTCTTGTATTCTTGATTGTAAGTCAATTTTATAATATTGATTTATTTTTACATTACTGTAGTTAAAGTAGTTTTACTTGATAATTACTAATTGGTATGCTTAATTTCTTATCTCCGTCTTTCTAGCTGTTCTATGCCGATCGGGTTCTGTTCAAAGGGAGAAGATTGGTTGAGAGAACAACCCCTACTTTTATAGGCTGGACTGACTGGGCCTTGAAGGAAAGACAGTCAGAGGAAATTAGTACAAATTCATTTGGCAAAGGTGCAATTACAGAGAGGGTTGAACTTGCACCTTCATCTCTTCCTACTGGAAACTCACCTAAAAGTGTTGATACAATTAGAAAGGTTAGCCAATTAAGTTGCAAGTCTTTGTTTATTCAATTTAATCTCAAATACAGTAGGAGTGAATCTCTATTCACTTAAACTGAATTTCAATTTATTGGTGTCGCGATTCAGTAGGAGTGAATGTCGATTGAATGAAATTCAAAATCAATTTACTGTAGTGAATCGCGATTCACTACGACTGAATCTCGATAATCGACTCGACTAAAATTGTTTATTCAATTTAATCACAATACAGTAGGAGTGAATCTCTATTCACTTAAACTTAATTTCAATTTATTGTAGTGAATCGCGATTCAGTAGGAGTGAATGTCGATTGAATGAAATTCAATATCAATTTACTGTAGTGAATCGCGATTCACTACGACTGAATCGCGATTCACTACGACTGAATCTCGATTCACCATAGTCAAACTGAAACTATTTTAGTCGACTATGGATTCAGTCAATTTGAATCATGATACAAATACATTGATTGTAATCTCAATCTATTCAAACTTGTCTCAAACCATGTTAATAATTTATGGTGACCAATGTCTGTGATTTTCAAACTACAGGATTGTATTGATAGGGTTCAACGGAGAGCTGCAGAGTTGGAATCTGCAAAAGAAAGATATGATGCTGAGTGTGAGACAATGAGAAAGCTGTTCCCCAATGATAATGAGCTCTTGCAAATTCAACAAAGAGTTTCAAATGTTCTTGTGCAGGGGTGTGGACATCGTGTAAGTACCTGTAACGATGAAACAGCTGAGAGAAACATTGTTGATGATACACCTAACATGAACACAAATGTGAGTAGAGATATGCATGCTTCCCCTGCTGTTGATCCAACATCAGCTGAGATACCACAAACCCAAGTCTCCCCAAATTTTATTCAAGAAGTTGATAAGATTATAGAGACTGTTAGCAAGAAAAAGGATGAAAGACCAGTGAAGCGGAAGCTCAGCGAATGTGGTACCCCACAGACTGAAGAACCTAGTTTTTCTCTTGGCCTAACACAGGATACTGAGAATGAGACAGTGGAAATGGTAGATATTGTTCAGGTTGCTAAACAAGTTGAATCTGAAGTCACTGATGACCCTGTAAAAAGAACTGATAAACAAGTTGAAGATGCTGCTGCAGTAGATGAATGTAAACATAAGAAAGTTGAGGTGACCGAAAATAAGGGAGATGCGGGAAGGAGGAAAGAAAAGAGGATGGTGAAGCCTGCAACGTCTCTTCGGTCACCATGGGTGCAGAGGGTATCTCAGATTACTGCTAGGCAAAGTCAGCTGGAAAGCATCATATGGAATTGGGTACATAGAGAAAAAGCAAGGCATTCAGCTGATGATTCTGATGAAGAAGAGGATTTGTGAGTTCTTAAATCTTATGAATCTATTTTATTTTTATGTGTCAGACTCACTGTTTTTAGTATTTACTCCCTTTATTAAATTGAATATTGTTACTGTTTTTTCAGTGAAGTGGTTTTTAAGTGGAGACAAATTGAATGTTTCTTACTGGCTTTCAAGACTTTCCTTCCTGATGAGGACATTGAGGCAAATTTAATCAGCATTTGGTCCAATATTTTGAACAACAGAGAAAAAATGAAGTCGGAAAATTCTCCTCTTAGATTCTTCTGCAATGTTGAGACAACCGTAAGTATCTTCCTTTATTCTTTTTAAAATAACAATTCAGTTACATCTTATTTAACAAGTTTTATGTTGTACAGTTTTGCAACATTCATCACACAGATGAGGCCAATGATGAATTGAGATACAGTCGTTTTGCTTCCCGGATGGATGAGCAACTTGCTCTGTATCCACATATGAAGTTTAATGAGATTGATATGGTAAAGATTCGAAGATAATATTTTTCTTCTTTAGCCCAATTTTAACTATATCTGTTAAATCTCTGATTAAATTCCACAACCATTAGGTCTTCTTCCCCATAAATGCGTTTGAGCATTTCTACATTGTGTGCTATGGGCTAAAGAATCCAAGTATGGAGCTGATTGACAATAGCAAAAACTGCCCAGACTACAAGGAAAAATACCAAGATCGTCCTGAGGGTTTAGTATGTTTTCCCACCTTTTGTATGTACTTTAAACATTTACTGGCGGAATACAGTAATACATGAATCTGCATTTACTAAATTGAAGCGGGATTCACTATAGTGAAAGCAGATTCACTCCAGTGAAAGCAGATTCACTCTAGTGAATGCAGATTCACTACTGTGAATCCAGATTCACTCCAGTGAATCCCGATTCACTACTGTGGATCCCGATTCACTACTGTGAATCCCGATTCACTACTGTGAATCCAGATTCACTACTGTGAATCCAGATTCACTACTGTGAATCCAGATTCACTACTGTGAATCCAGATTCACTACTGTGAATCCAGATTCACTACTGTGAATCCAGATTCACTACTGTGAATCCAGATTCACTACTGTGAATCCAGATTCACTACTGTGAATCCAGATTCACTACTGTGAATCCAGATTCACTACTGTGAATCCAGATTCACTACTGTGAATCCAGATTCACTACTGTGAATCCAGATTCACTACTGTGAATCCAGATTCACTACTGTGAATCCAGATTCACTTTAGTGAATCCAGATTCACTATTGTGAATCCAGATTCACTATAGTGAATCCAGATTCACTAAAGTGAATCCAGATCCAATTTAGTGAATCCTGAATCACTATAGTGAATCCTGATTAACTAGCGTACGAGAAATCAAGATTCAGTAGAGTTAGAACAGTTGAACTAACTCTATTAAATCCTATCGAGTTAGATCCAATGAATCGTGATTCACTGCAATGGATACTGTTTCCATATAAACAACCAAAACAATTTGTATATTACATTAAACATTATTCTATAATAATTTGGATTTGTTATGTGACACTGATTACTTTTGATTAAACAGCACCAGAATTTTGTGAGATATTTGGCAGACAAGAAACATCACAAGGCGAGTGAAATAATTACATTAACGCCTGACAGACTTGAGATGGAGTGGAGAACGACCAAAAATACATATGATTGTGGTATTTTTGTCATGAGACATATGGAGACCTACATGGGCGGTGGTACAGCAAATTGGAGCTCTGGTTTTCATAGAGAGGGTGTAAGTGTTAAACTAAAAATGTGTTGATAATTTACAGTTAGTCTTCTTACTTAACTGTTGTTCATATCGACAGGAGCGATTAAAAAATCAGCTACATAGACTGAGGTCTATATACTGTTGCCAAATTCTTACTGAACCACCAAATGAATTGGCCAAAGAAGTAATTAGCAAAGCCCAACAGCACCATGCTGAGACTGGAAATATCAAAAAAGAGAAGAGGAAGACCACAAGATGATCTCAAAGAAAATGATAATCTGTAATCACCATAATTTACAATGTTGAAGTTTAAAGTTATTGAGTACATTGTCACTATCTGTTATTTCTAGATTTGTCATAATTTTCAATGTTGAAGTTTACAGTTATTGAGTACTATATAAGAATAGATTTGTCATAATTTCGATTTCAGCAGAGATTGGGAGATATAATCCAATTTTTTATGTAACATACAATAAAATAATCATACTTATTGTGGATTGTATGTATTTAATCTGGAATAACTGTTTGGCCATTATCTTAAGTTGAATCTACTCGATTCAAATGAGTGGATCGAGATTCACTGGGTGAATCTTCTCGATTTAGTTGAGTGAATCGCGATTCACTGGGTGAATCGACTCGATTCAGTTTTAAAACCCTCACTTTCCTAACTGAATCGAGTAGATTCACCCAGTGAATCGCTATTTGAGTAGATTCACTGGAATTCACATGCTATATGAGTAAATCTCAATCTCAATTCAATTTAAAACCCTCACTTTCCTAACTGAATCGAGTAGATTCACCCAGTGAATCGCTATTTACATAACTGAATCGAGACGATTCACCCAGTGAATCGCTATTTACAAAACTGAATCGAGTCGAATCAACCAGTGAATCGCGATTCACTCAACTGAATCGCGTAGATTCACCCAGTGAATCTCGATCAACTCGACTGAATTCGCGATCACTCAACTGAAATCGGGGTAAAATATTCCCATCCAGTGCATATCGATCCCTCAACTGAAAATCCGCGATTTACAAAACATTGAATTTCGAGACGATTTTTATCCAGTAATCGCGAATTCAAACTAAACTGAATAAAGAAAGTAGATTCACTCCAGTTTTAATCTCGATCCCCCCTCACTGAATCGACGATAAACTTCAAACTAGCAAGTGGCAACATTTGCATAAATCAGACCCCACCTATTTTTCCACTCCCATTTAGACAACTGAATCGATTCAATTGCAATCCAATTTTCCCCTCCCATTTACCAACTCCCATAAAAATGTTTTTTTTTAAGAATGTAAAGCGTAAACCAAGATAATAAGTTTCCCATAATGGCTTTCATTTTTTAAATACTGAATCTATTCCATAAAGTTAAAAAAAAAACATTAAGATCCCATGCCACACCTAATTCAAGTCATTCCATTTTTAATCTCATAAAATTGTTTGAGCAATGGTTCCCAGCCGCTGCCTTCCGAACAAGAGACCTGAAGACACGATTGAAAATAGCAGCTTACTTGGAACCGTTTCCCTCGATGAAACGAGAGCCTTTGAAAGAACGATGAAACGATGAACGGAGCTGGTGGACGATTTTTGTCCCTGAAAACGAGGCTGAAAAAAGATCCTGAAGGACGATTGAACGAGATTTAAGCTGCTCGGAAAAATTCAAGATTGAGCTGGTGACGATTGGCACGAAGCCCTTTTGATATTGTGACTGTTTGGGTTTGCTGAGTCCCGTAAAGATTGCATGCATGGGAAATGGAGAAACTCAAACAGAAGCAATTTAATTACCTTCTCTTTGTGCTGTTTTATTTACCAGAAATACCCCTCATACCAGTTTTTAATCCAGCAATTGGATGATCTAGATGCCAATGAGAGAAAGTTTTTAGTTTTTTTAGGAATAAGCAGGTTTTCGTCATTTGAAAAAACATCTCCCCTAATAAATATTCATATATTAATATATATTATAATATATATATACGAAGAAGGAGAGAGAAGAGAGAGAGAAATAAGTGAGTAATCCCCTTTGGTACCAAAACAACAAATTTTTTGCCTTAGTTAAGTGAATGTTTGTCACATCCGTAATCCCACACCTAACTCCCATGTGAATTTATTCCCAATATTGAATGATTGGAGGCGATTTTTTACACATATCCCAAAGGCATCCTTTTTTTGCTTGGATTACCAAGCATACCATAAATTTTTCTCATTATATTATATATATATATATATATATAAATTAATTAAATATTTAAATAATATATATATATATATATACCAATTTATTTTAAAAAAAAACAATTGAGGTTTGTGATATGGACCAGGTAATTACTATACCCGGGTAGGACGAGACAAAGAGCAGGGCCGGCCTCACTTTACGTTTCCACGGAAGCGATAAGGTGAGCAACGTGTCGGTTTAGACTTTAGAGTTAGACCCTTGCTGAATTTGTGAATCTTGTTTTAATATCTTTGAAGAGAGAGAGAGAGAGAGAGAGAACAAATCTTGATTTCACATAGAGAATGTTGGGTAGCATGTAAACAAAAGCGTTGCATCTAAAATCAGGATGGATTTACATATAATATTATTCACATTGATATTACATGATGCCATTGGATTTGGATCATTACGTAGTTTCCGTTAATAAACAGAGCTGTTTAACGTACAATGAAAAAACCACCTAATTTTGTTAAAGTTAACAAAAGTTCACTATCATAAATAATGTCAACCCTACAAGAGGAGCAAATTTGCAAGAAGATTGAAGATTTGAAGGAGTGACAAGCAAATATGGAGATTTAATGGACTGGATCGAAATTATGGATGATCCAAGGGTGTGATATGTAACTACTCCAATAAAATAATATGACAGAATATATCCATTTAACAAGAAAAATAACGAATTAATACAAAAAAACAGTACATTCATACTAAGACTCTCGCTTTCAGACACCCAGCTGTCCTAAACAATTTTCCTAATAATAACAGCATTTAAAAAAAAAAGTTAAAAAAACAAAAAGAAAAAAAAAGAACGCGGCCAAATTACGACTGCGGCGACGAACTACTCTCCATCGACCCCAACAACAACAAGCGACCTCTTCGTCTTCTTCCCCTTGACTTCTCTCTCCCTCTCTCTAAAAACGGCCTCCGTTTCCATCATTCGCTAACATAATTCCTGTCTCTTCATCTCTTTCTACTGCATCACTCAATGAGCCTCGTCGAACTCTCTCTCTGGCTCTTTCTGCCATCTCAATCTTAGACCTGTGCTGCTTACTTCTTCTTCACATAAGCTGGGGCTTGTTATCTCACCATCGGTTCTCCGACACAGTTCGGCGATGGGCCGAATCGAGATCCACCGGCCTCCCGGCGGTTGGCCGGAACGAGAGCAACAGGTCGCCGATTACTACGGCCGCCGTGCTGCCGGCCACGACCGCGGACGCCGACGCCTCCTCGATGGAGGCGATCAGGAGCTCACTTTCTCCGACGGCAACGCCACGGTTCGCGTCAACAGCTTGGGATTGTAAGCGAAGTTGGAGCTTTTGGTTTAAAGTTTTGATTTTTATTGGACCGGGTTGAATTGATTTGGGGGTTGTGCTGGCCTTTTTTTTTCTTTCTTTTTTTTTTGAAGTTTGCACTATGCGGTGGTTGCTTTGGGGACTCCGAATGTGACGTTTATGGTGGCCTTGGATACTGGAAGTGATCTGTTCTGGGTGCCCTGTGACTGTGTTAGCTGTGCTCCGACGAGCTCCGGTACCAATGGATTTGTATGTTTTGTCTGACTTATTCCAATTTTTAGTGTTTTTAGTATGCAAGTCTGGTGCTTTTTGGGGATAGAGCTTGCTCAGATGGATTTTACTGACTTTGGAATGATTTTAATCTTTGTTTTAATAACTAAAAGTGATTATGGTTGCTTTTAGAGTATAAAATGATTACCCGATTGTCGTCATAACTTCAGAATTTAATTTTGGTGTAATATTGTTAATTTGGAATATGGATTCTGGATATGAGTTGCCACCTCTTTGACCTATACCGAGATATAGAAGTGGTGGCGGTCGAGGGATGTACTTTCATACTCTAATATGCCTCCATAGGTTGAGTGTCCTTTTTTATGGGTCGGAAAATTGGCTCGCAGAGCAACACCTTTCTATGAGTTCTATGTTTGCATATTTAAATACCAGCGTAGCTATAAAACTTTCCATTTTGTGGGGGCATATGACTGCACTTCAGTACTTCTTCAGTAACTGGGTATCAGTCTCAGTAGTTGTACTTGGAGTATCCCTTCAAGAGTATCATGAGGATAGTTTCTGGTATGACAACTATGTAGTAGTTATTTAGGCAACCTAATCTAGAATCTCTACGCCATCTTCACAAGGAAAATTTATCAATAGAATTTTAATATGCCATAGAGATCTTTTCACTTCTGGTTCTCAAACTGGAAATTTCATGAACTTTTCATGTTTTTATGTATGTGCTTCTCTTCAAACCTTTCGGGGTCTCATGTACATGTTCTTATTTGGATCTTATCAGCTTCAAGAAGTTTGGATACTTCTCTGTCAATAACCTTACATTCATGTGAATAACTAAGCATGCCTTAACATATATTATTCTTAATTTCTTGGTAGGATCTCATAGTAAAATAAGTGGCCATTTATATAATAGTGCCATATATGGAGTAATTGTGTTGATGACCACTGTTTAGAAAGATATATTACACCGCTATTCAATATATATGAACTTTCTTTAACAATTTAGTCTTCTTTCGCTTGAAAAGATAGGTAAAGCAATATGGTATAGAGCAGTATAACTTATGATAATTCAATAATATTAAATAATCAGTTTGAAGAAAACTTCAGCTTTTCTTTATTTTATAGGACTGTAGCTGTACGTAGGAGTTGGTTATAGGCTTAAGACTTCTACTTTCTTGCAGTTACTTACTTATGATGTGAACTCATCTGGGACATAATTTTAGGATCACTGTGCTATGAAGTTTTATGGCTTAATAGAAATATGCTTGTCTCATTGGCGGTTTTACTCGCTAGAATTGTTATTTGACATTCTAGGTTGTCTTTTCTTTTTAAAGGTTTCTTGAACTATCTGTGGTATCATGCACTGGTTGATGTTCCTTATCCTTTATTTTACGCCAATTGACAAAATAACTCTAGTTCAATCTGCAACAAAAAATAAAGCCACGTACTTTCTTTTCCAGCATTTCATTATTGCTAATTTGAGTGTGCGTAGCATCTAATAAGCTTATGTTGACAGGATTTTGATTTCAGCATCTATAGTCCTAATATGTCTTCGACAAGCCAAGGCATTCCTTGTAGCAGCAACTTATGTGAGCGGCACAGGTGTTCTAAAGACAGCAGCCAATGTACTTACAATGTTGAATATGTGTCTGACGATACATCATCTACTGGTGTTTTAATTAAGGACCTCTTGTATTTGACAACAGAGGATACTAGTTCTAAAGTTGTTAAAACGCCAATTGTTTTTGGGTATGATGCCTTATTATCACACTAACATTCTAGAAAGTTCTATCTAGGTTTATTTTGCATCATATCTAATCATTTGTGCATTGAATTGTACAGTTGTGGAATGATTCAGACTGGTTCCTTTCTGGATGCTGCAGCTCCAAATGGCCTTTTTGGGCTTGGTATGGACAAATTATCTGTTCCTAGCACCTTATCTAGTTCTGGCATCACATCGAATTCATTTTCCATGTGCTTTGGTCGTGATGGTCTTGGGAGAATTAATTTTGGGGACAACGGAAGTTCAGACCAAGAAGAGACACCAATCAACACCAGGAATCTACAGTGAGTAACCTATTTGCTTCTTGTTGCTTTATAGTTGAACTTACTCTTTTTTTCTCCCCCTAGACTCTCATATCTACAAGGGTAACCGGTAATCCTAAGATTATTGATTGTAATTATACAGGTGAGCCAGGAATCTGTTTATTTTCACCTAGAGTCTGCATATCTACGAGGGTAACTTTGAGATTACTGATTGTACTTACATGGGTGATCATGGAGCCTGTTTATTCTTTCCTTCTCAGAGTTACCCATGTAGATACGATCAGTAATCTCAAGGTTACCGTGTACATTTGCAGAGACGGGTTACCCATAAAATACACCATACCTCTGGGTTCCTGAATGTAACTAATCTTGTTTTCTATATTCCTGAAAAGAAACCTTATGTTACTTTCCATAATTGGTCCTCAATTTTTTTTTTGACAGCCCCACATACAATATCAGCCTTACTGGAATTGGTGTAAGGAACATTTCCATGGAAGTAGGTTTTAGTGCACTTGTTGACTCGGGTACATCTTTCACCTACTTGGCTGATCCAGCTTACTCAAGTCTCGCAAAAAGTGTAAGTAACTCCTAAGATATATCAGTTTATCTGGAATCTAGTATAAAGTAATAACTTTGCTATTTCCCCGTGTCAGTTCAACTCGCAAGTACATGATAAGCCATTCACAGCTGATTCCGATATCCCTTTTGAATATTGTTATCAGATAAGGTCATTTTTCTCAAGCATTTGAAAGTTGCTTTTGATTTGATGTGACCTTGAGGCCAATAAGTAATTTGATGAAAATGTTATGGTTGCAGTTCCAATGAGTCTATGGTTCAGTTACCTGATATAAGCTTTACAGCAAAAGGTGGAAGCCATTTTCCTATCAATGACCCAATAGTTCTCATCTCTAACGAGGTATGTTTACTTCTCTATACAATATCAGCATTTTATAAAACTATAGTGCACTTATTGACATTCTTAGCTTCTGTGATTTTCAGAAGAAACGTCAATTCATCTATTGCTTGGCTGTTATCAAGAGTACACAACTGAATATAATTGGACGTAAGTCTCTTCGTATTTACTAACTTTGCAACAGTTTTCTATATGGCTTGGTAGTACTCTACAGTTGTGTCAATGATACTGATACCTTTTGCATCACAGAAAATTTCTTGACTGGCCTTCGTGTAGTCTTTGATCGGGACAGAATGATCGTGGGTTGGAAGAAGTTCGACTGTAAGTCTACTTGTGACTTGGCAAAAAAAAAGGATAAATTTATAAATAAATAAAAAAAACTCCCCTGGACTCTGTCATTTTGCACAAAACCCCTAAACTTTATAAAACATCAACCCTCACTCCCATAGTTCAATAATTACAGCAAAATTCCCTGTTTTCCATACCCCCCCCCAAAAAAAAAAAAGGGAAAAATCACACATCTACCCACCCAAAACCACTATTATGTCAAAATTTCACTAAACTCCCCTGAATTGTTGAAAATTCTCATCAACGGAATGAACTGGTAGAGTAAAAAGTATGAACTCTGCCTTTTTGTACATTTTACGCGTCCTTTTCCAAAAAGAGTAATTATACAATTGTAGGGTAAGCAACTTAAAGTAATTGTACCTTCAATCATGGTAAGACAACTTCAGGGGGTTTTTTCTATAATTTATAAAGTTCAGGAGGATTTTGTGCAAAACCCATCAGAATTGCGGAATTTGTGACTTTTACTTGTAGACCTATCTCAACAATCCGAAGTCACATCACTTCTCTACAGGTTATAAAGTCGAGGATTCCAACCCTCTTCCAGTGAATCCACGAAATTCTTCTGCAACTCCTCCGAGCATTGCTTTTAGCCCTAGCAGTTACACTCCAGAGGCGACAAAGGGGAAAGGGCACAACGGAACTGAAGCCTCAGTTTTGACACCGGGGGCTGCAAGTAGCCACTCTTCACTAGTGAACACCTTGGCGAGCACCATTTTACTACTGCTTCTGCTCCCTCTGTCCATTATTTGATCATTCATTGTTGGCAGCTGATTATAGAATATAGAGCTTTTTTATTTCGATTTTCCTCGATCACCCTAGTTAGGTTTTAGGGTCAGCGATACAGTATAGAGGATCCCATCTTTGGCATTTCATAGATTTATTTTTTCTCGTCATTTGTTTTGTGTTTATTGGATGCCAGTTTTTTTATTGAGTGCAGAAGCTGGCTGTATATATAAAGTCATGTACGCTGATTCTTTACCCTAAATATATTTTTGTATACAGGTTATATGAAAAGTATTTATATTTGACATATTTTGGTATCTTATACATTACAGCATATACTTTATCCATTGAGAGTTTCTAGAGCTATTTGTACGAGTCATGTCTGTCCATCTTCTTTTCCCCTTAATTTGCTTAACATAATTGAGAAATTCGGTGAAGGGTTAACTATGCATGGACCCCTTGTACCATCGCCCAATTGTGGATAGACCCCATTGCAGTTCTATTCTTGCAGCCAGACCCTCGGATTGAATCTTGTTCGCCTCTTCTATCAGGAGGTCTATTTGTCGAAACTGTTCTCTTTCTCTGAGGGTGAAAGAACGTTTTCACTCAACAAAGGATTTTTCACGAGTGGAGTTTTTATACAATGGGTCATCAGGATTTGAAATTTTGAGATTATATTTGGAGAATTCCACTCGATCAACACAAACCTGGCGTCGGTTAACTCATAAGCAGTCTACAAACTGCAGCAAGAAAACTTTATATTTCCAAATTACGGTACCCCCAGGATCCTCATCGATGAGCATCCAAAAGAGTTCACAGTATTTCCGCTAGAGAGAATGCAGAATTAAACAATAGCAACAGGTTTCAGGGTCTTGCTATCTGATACATGACCATTATCAGCGCTAGGATTTCAATTGTCCAAGTTGTTTTCTCAGTGCTCCTCATCAAGGGAAGAGATGACTCCAAGCTTGTCAGGAGTAGAAATAGACCGAGTTTCTCCGTGATTGCTATCATCATCTTCCTCGTGGCCCTCTGGAGATGAGAAGTCCAAGCATATGCCATCAATGGTTTGCTCATATAATGGCGATGATGGATCTTGAGTTGCGAGTTGGTGATACTCAACAAGCTGATGAAGGCATTGGTTTTCTCTTGTGAGGTTCGCGTTCTCGTTTGCGAGTCTGGACTTCTCTGCCAACAAAGCCTCCATTTGGAGCCTCACCTACACAAATAAGCCATAGATCAGTACCATAGATCACATTTGACAATTCGAGTGTCGTCTCTTGAATTGACAAGCCTGGCCTTCTGGAGAAAAGCAGGCGCAAGGGATGCAGGCGACATGAACCCAAGCAATGAATTCAAAAGATTAAACGATGA